AATAGTAAAATAACAAATGTAGCTGAATTATGTATAACCATCCATTATGACCAAGTAGGAGTTAACTCAAATTATATATAAAGATAATTTAATATTAGGAATCGTATTAACATATACTAAAAATTTCACCAGGTTTCACCTCCTTCTGATCCCTCTATGTCCCCCATAGGATCTCTCTTTTTTATACTTGTCTGTTTGTTTTTGTATTGTTTTGTTGTATTTTGTACTATAATAGAGATACACTCTTTTCCCCCTGTCTTATTTGGTTCTCTTAAATTCCTCCTGTAAGTGAAACCATTCGATATTTTTCTTTTTCCTTCTGACTTATTTTACTGAGCATAATCCCTTCCAGCGCCATCCATGTTATTGCAAATGGCATGACTATCTTTTTGATTGCTGAATAGTATTTCAGTGTATATTTATACCACATCTTCTTGATCCAGCCATCTAGTTTTGGGCATCCTTTCCAGGATTTACATATTGTAAGCAGTGCTGCAATAAACATCAGGGTGCATGCATCTTTTTAAATTAACATTGTTGTGTCCTTTGAATAGATTCCTAACAGTAGAATTTCTGGCTTGTATGGTAGCTCCATTTTTAATAGTCTGTGGAATCTACACACAGCTTTCCATAGTGGCTGCACCAGTTTTCATTCCCATCAGCAATGTAGGAGAGTTCCTTTTACACATCTTGCCAAGATTTGCTGTTGTTAGTTTTTTGATACGTGCCATTCTCACTGGTATGAAGTGGTATCATTGTGATTTTGATTTGCATTTCCCTGATTATGAGGGATGTTGAACATTTTTTTTCATATACTTGATGGCCATTTGCAATCCCTCTTTGGATAATTCTTTTAAGTTCTGCCCATTTCTTGACTGGGTTGTTTCGTTTTGGTTGATTTGAATGAGCTCTTTGTATATATCTGTGTGATCAGTCCCTTGTCTGTTTTATGGAGTGCAAAGATTTTTTTCACAGTCAGTAGGGTTTCTCTTTGTCTTGATTAATGTTTCTTTTGCTCTGCAGAAGCTTTTCAGTTTGATATAGTCCCATGTACTTATCTTTTCATTTTCTTTGCTTAGGGTGAAGAGACTTTAAATATGTTGTTGGCTGGATTATAGTGATGACACACATGGGTGAACTGGTGGTGGGTAGCCCATGGGATTACAACTGAGATGAAAAATGCACAAAATGAAAAATTATGTTAAAAAAAAGAACAAAAAAATTACACTGTTGTTGAGAGTTATGTCTTATAGTGTTTTACCCATATTTTCTTCTATATATTTTATTGTTTCAGATCTTATGCCCAAATCTTGTACCCATTTTGATTTGATTTTTGTATGTGCTTTTCCAGAATCTTTTTTGATTTTATACCTCCCCCCTTATTCTCAATTTCCACACAAATAATTTAAACAAATAATATAGATAGAACTATAACACTGACTATATAATTCAGGGAATAGACACTAATTAATGAAATGTTTTCATAGAAATCTTTCTTAATAAAGAATAGACAGGGTCCTCCCTGGTGGCACAGTGGGTTAAAGCACAGCACTAAGAAGCTAAAGCCACTTCAGCATGAATTCAACCCCCAGCCCCAGAGGTGACTCACAGGGCTGGCAGACCTCTCCTGACCTGCCCGTTGCTTGCCTCAGCAGTGTACTTCGTCAGTCGGCCTGTTCTGCTCCCCACTGTCTCTGGTGAATCCTCTCATCACCTCTGCACCTCTGGCCTCTACCTCAGTTCTGTATGCATAAATAAATAAATCTTTAAAAAAAAATAAGATAGACAAATGTATATTCTAAATGAAGTTCTAAGTGACAGTCAGTGTTACTTGAAAGTAAGGAGACTCCTGGTTAAAATTTTTACTTAATATCCATGTGAAGCTTTTGATTCACCAGTAGAAACACTGGGTGCAATAAACTGATATTTGACAAACTCTTTGATTGTAATGGTAGAAGAAAGTTTAAACAAAAAAAACAAAAAAAAAGGAAATTTAGTGATTTACTGCATCAGAAAGATATGAGTGGATATATATGGCATCTGGCACAGTGATACTAATGGACTCAAACAGTATAATCAAGATTCTTTCCATTTTGTGATTTTATTACTCTACCTAGCTAGGTGACCACCACTATTGTAACCCAACCACATCATTTCTGCTTATCACCCCCAGATTAACACTTTCAGGAATAAAATTCTTCTACCCCTCCAAAAGTAATCATATGGAATAATGTCTTTAGTTCTTACCAAAATTGCTCAAACACCAGATTGAAGATATAGTTGTCCAAACTAACAAGTCTTAAACTTCTGACATCAACTGCAATGTGTAAACCGAAGAAATCAGAGAGAACTATGCCCACAAAACTTCCCTCACTCATATAACAACCACAGTTCAAGAACCCCAAAGGGTCACCCTTACTTCAGACCAGCTAGTTACAATTAAGGGGTTACATGACCCTCAAGTTTGATGATTTGCTAAAACAACTCACAGGACTTACAAAACTTTAGACTTATTACAATTTTTTTTAATAGCAGGGGAATACAAGATAAAACAACCCAAAGGAAAAGATAAGACAGTGCTTGCAAGTGTTCCAGATATAAATTTTCAATCATCCTCAGGACACATTACTCTCCCAACACCAGTATATGACGATAACCTAAAAATACTGCCAAAAAAGTTCCACAAGCTTCCCTATTTTTAGTAGCATTTAATCTTACAGTCATGATTGATTGAATAATTACCTATGTGGTTTAACTCAATTTCCATCAGGCATACTTCCTGGCTATCACATTTATGAGGACCCATCCTAAGAAGTTATTTTGTTTAAACTATAAGTGTGATCCAAGGGGCCACCTTAACTTCCAAAGACACTTCTGGCAGGAAATCCCAAGAGAACAGAAGTTACCTTTCAGGAATGTGGGCAAATGCCAGACTTCTCTTTGAAGAAAAGCCAAATTCTTTATTACATAGTTTTATTTGCCCATTCCTAAAAGAACTGATCACTAAGGCTGACTGGATGGAATAGTCTGCTTGGTCAAAATGGATTCTGTTTCCATCCCAGTTGTGGGACTATGGGGTGACAGGAAGAACTAAAGAAATAAAACTAGGACAATACATGTGAAGGTCAGAAATTACTGCAAGCCACAGTGGTTGATACAACTGATCACAAACATAAAAACTAATAGTGGTCTTATGGGAGATAAGAGAAGTAATTCTAAAAACCCTATCACAGAGAAAATCAACTAGAATCTAAGTAAAACATTAAGCATGGGTATAAGAAAAATATTTAAAAAATAGTTTCAATAAATGTCTATAGTACGAACTTTAAAATGTAATTTTTCCTTTTCTTCTGTCCTTTGAACTATAATGCCTAATAAATGTAACTGTTTTCAGTTAAAAATAAGCCTCAGTTTTCTTATTTACAAAATAAGGTTATTATTTATCTCACATATAGAATTATTAAGAGGATTAGAGAACATATTTGTGAAGGCCAAGCACAAGGCTAGTATGTAATAGATAGTATCATACTGATAGGTGTTGCTGCTGCTGGTGCTCCAAATTAAAAACCACAGTTCACATACAGCAAAATGAGATAACCAAATTTGAATGATCACTATCTAGGAAAAGTAGAACTCAGAAGAATCCGTTTTTTAGTGCGGTGGAAAGAGAGCAGTGTATAAAGATTTACACTGGGAAATAAAAATCTTGATTTCATGCTTCCTTCCAATTCCTTTATGTACTTGCAAACACACCCAAGTATTTTACTTCTTTTGGCCTCAACTACCATACCTATATAATGGGAATAATAATACTTGCTGTACTATAATGCTGGATTGTTGATGTGACTTATTGAGAAAGTGTTTTTACAAAATATGGCACTATTAGTTGTCTATCTTTTGTTTCATACATATATAAGAAATTCTACAAAGTTAAGGCAAATTGTAAACTTCAACTGCTCACATAATTATAGTGTCAAGGGGCAAAAAATTGTTTTTATTACTCCACAAATGTGAGAAACATCTTGCCATATTAAAAAGGCATAGAAAAGTTCGAGATAAATCTACTAATCTAAGTTATGTCAAGGAATGCAATTTATGACTAAGATAAAACAAAAAATAGATGGCTGAAAGCTTTATATACAGCAATATTAATAGTGGAAGTAACCCATGCTGATTTTGATAACTAGAATGTTGACACTACCACAGTATAAAAGGATTATGAACACCATCTTCTCAATACCCAAGTTCCAAGTTGCATGAAAACAAATTTCTTGGGCCACTTAAGATATGTTTTATTCTATTATATCAAGGATCACAATAATCTAAATAATAACTTTAGCATGAAAGAGTTAGCAGAATTTCTAAGTTGTGACTAAAGAACAATCAAGCTCCCATGACAAACCTCCTCATAATTAAGAAATATCTTCTCTTTTTCCAACTGAAAATGCCAACTGTCTGTGCTGATACAATTTCCCACATAGTCTGAGCATTATTTCAAAGAACATTATTTCAAAGTGAAATCCCCAACCAGGATATTTTTAAGTGATCTTTAACACTTTCATCTCTGCAAGCCCTCACATTGAACCAATTTTCAAATCTCTGGCATTTTTCCTTAAAGTATCTGTCAAACTTGTTCTTTAACTCCATTTCCTCTGCCACCAATGTCTACATCATAAGCTTTTGCCAAAACTCTGCCTTCTCCAGTTTTTTTCCCTTTTCAATCCTGCCTATAAATGCCCATTTATATATCCCAAAATACTACTTACATTCTGTCATATCCTGGGCCAGAAGCCTATAATCCAGTTGATCCTTTGATTCCAAGGGAAGGACTTTTAAAAAGCACTGATGCCCATGTTCTGCCTTAAGAGGTTCTGATTTAATTTATCTGGGATGGATCCAACTCATTAATTTTTCTTTAGAAGTTCCTCTGGTGTTCATCATGTGCATCCAGGTTTGGGGACCACTATGATGGCCCTTTATTGCCTCTCAAGTCAAACCACCTGTGCTGTGCACAGGTGCCTATGACCTTTCTGCATGCTCTCCACTTCGCAAAGGTGTTTATTTGTTTCCGGTGGCCATCAACACATGCTCCTCTCTTCTGATGTCGACCTTGAGTTTCTAGCTCCTAAGAGAAAACAGGAAGGGCCAAGGAGTTTACACCTGTGAGGCACACGATAGCTGATTCCTATTGTGGGGATATGAGTGCCAGTTCCCTTACCTGGGAGGAATAATTTATATTCCAGAACTCGTGGCAGGATCAGGCTGAATCAGGGAACTTACCTGAATACAAAACATCCCTTGCTTGCCTTTCTTGGTTTCTGTCCCTTTACTCTCTTCCTCATTTCTTCCAGGGGCATATTCTTATGATGTCACTTGTACATGAATTTTTATTCCCGGGTCTGCTTATGGAGGATGCAACTTACTTGACATCTTGGTCAAAACAGTTCATAACATGGTCCCACTATGTTTTCTTCAATTACCGATCATCCACCAGGTGCATCTGCTTTCCCATCCACTATGCCTATTCCATATCACTCTTTAAGCCCATTACCCTTCACTCACAAGGTTTTTTCTCTGCCTCTGTGATGATGAAAATGGCCTACCTTTCAAAAACAACCTCTAGGTGACCTTAACCCATACATTGCCAAAGACCCAACCCAAGATAGCTGTTCAATAAATGTGGGTTAATATAGTGCCGCCTCCCCACTCAGACTTGCCCTGACAATGCTTGCACATATAACTCAGCTGTATTCTCTTAACTTCTTCTGTATTTAATATCAAATATCCACTCACTTGTTAATTTATTTGACCAATATTTGAGTTACTACAATGTACCAGAAACTGTGTTCATCATGCAGAATGATATGGTAAATCTCCATGGAGTTTATAGTCCTGGGTACAGCTATTCAGCAAACAATCAAACAAGCAAATGTTAATTTATAAAAATGAAAACCTGAATTGAAGGGATGTAGCTTTTTTTTTCCAAAAATTTAAATACACTTATCTACAGTAGAATGTGTTTGCAGAAATAATGACCCATAATTACTATCCAGTCTTTGTCTTAGGGACTATTCTTGAAGCCCTCCTGAAATTGCACACAAATTTTTGTGACTAAAAATTCTTCTTTTAATACATTTTCAAGTTGTTCATTACTCCAAACTTTGCACAGTGCCAATCCTGTAGACAGCAATACCCTATTTATTATATTGCCTTCTGCATGTGCCTCTGTATATAGAAATGTTAGCAATTGGTGTTATCTGATACCATTAAATAAGCATTATACTGGACGTATGTTCATCAATAAACAAATATTTGTTTTCCTCTGTTTTCAGCCTGAGTTTTTCTACAGACTCAGACTCTCAAAAACAAATAGGAAAAATGTCTTTCTTTTCTTTATTCTGAACAATTGTGGGTGGGGTAAAAATGATTATCTTGCTTTTGTTTGGGTACCAGGAAAACAAGAACAACAAAACAGGATTTGCATGTTAAAACCTGTTTGTGTTAGACTAGTGCCAAACTGCTGTCACTACATTGCTTTAGAATTCTGTTTCTTCAGGGAGTTAATACTTTCATTCTAGGACCTCCTACTGGCTCCCCCACCACTAAACCTTAGCAACACTAACAGTAAATTACCAGATAAAAGCAGAAAAGGTTCATTTCATACATAAGTATTCAACTTAAAAGAAAAATAGGAAAAACATTTATGTCATTAGAAAATACCTGTAACTGTACACACACCAAACAATTGTCTTTACATGTAGCCATCAGAAGATGAGCTTGAGTTTGTATATGCTAGAAATAAATAGACCTTCAATCTGGCTACTTCTATTTGAAATTCTTGATTTAGAAGTCTTTTCAAAGAACAAAAGAGATTAGCAGAAACATGTTAAAAGATCTACATGTTTTACCAAAAACATGTTAAAAGCTCTACATGTTTCTGGATGGTTTCTTACTTATGGTTTTCCTTTGTTGTTAGCATGTGTGATCAAATGTATGTTAAGTTATATACTAGAAACCAAGTCTCAAAGGTGACTTTAGGAATGAAGCATTAGTTCTAAATTGTTTTTCATACAGGGAATGAAAGAGTCCCCTAACACTGTCATCAACTGCTTCTACTTTTTAATGTTTTTCAACCCATGTCAGTGTTTCTTAATAGGAATTCTCCATGCTAACTCTATGCTTTCCACTGTTGTTTAATGAGTAAAGGAAAAAATATTTTACTGTAAGGTTAGCATTGACTTAGCTCCCATTTTTAAATAATTTATTCTTAAATATCAGCATTTTAATTATTAATGACAAATTATTTGCTATACACTCCCTGAGTGATGATTAAGCAATACATGGAGATACCAAAATGGACAAATGCTGACCTCAAAAAATAAATACTAATTTAAATATTTTAACCAAGAACTAGAGGATTGTGAGAATTGTGTATGACATCATAGAAATGAAGGAAGCCATTTACTCCTGCCTTTTGCAGTTTCTCTATGTGGAACTCTCATGTGCACTGAAACATCCTATTTTTTCCTTCCTTAATGACAGTTTTAGACATGGCATGGAAATGAAGACGGTGGTAATCACAGAACAAAGATGTGCAAATAAATATAATATAGGGATTTTCATGTGTATATGAAATATGTAAATATATAAGCATACATACCTATACCTATACATATATATGTGTAGGTATAGGTATGTATGTACACACACACACACATATATATATATATATACATTATCTGTCAATGATGTATACAGACTTGCAAAAGGCAGCTTAACTGTGCCCCAAGAAGGTTCACTTAGCTGTCATTTGCCAGGAAAGCTCACTAAATACAATGGGATAAATACTAAATGTTTTTACTTTACTCATTGTCTGCTAAAGTATAACATTATTCAAACGGGATTCAATCTTGAATTATAAGCAAATAAAACAAACCAAATACTTTTCAGTAACATGGACTTTTTATAATTGCACATTAACTTTATCACCCACCACCACCACTACCATACATACTCCAGGCCAAGTAACTACTCCAGTAACTTTGATTAAGCCTTTTGTAGAATTATGACTTAGAGAACTTTTTTTTAAAGATTTATTTATTTATTTATTTATTTTTAAAGATTTATTTATTCAT